CTTGAACCCGGGAAGTGGAGGTTGCAGTGAGCTGAGATCATGCCACTGCACTCCAGCCTGGGTGACAGAGCGAGACTCTGTCTCAAAAAAAAATCACTAATAGTTTTATTTTTAAAATGCCTATAGTTACAATATGTCAGAAATAACATCCTTTGCAACTGTTAAACTTATGATTAAAAATTTTAAATATCAACTTAAAAGTGTGTGAAGAGGTACAGTTTGTTTTTAATGTAGGTGATATTGGATCAAAAAACTTTGACAATTACCATTATAATAAGTGAGTAGTTTAGTGAGATATTCTGATGCGACATCAATACTCAATACATTTGGACTTTTTACAAGTTTTCTAGATTCTTTAAAAACTCAGCTTATCCATTTAATGTTGCTGAGGTGTCATACACTGCAGCACTGTAATTCATTTATTTTTTCTTCAGATAATTAAAAATAATATTCACTGAACCAACCAATTACACAAATTCAATTAAATGACAGTAGAACAACTTTGAGTCTCAGGGGAATATACAGTTGGCATCAAATAAATGCTGTGGCAACACATGGGGACATTTTTGCATTTTTAAGGGCTCTTTCTGGGTCTTTTCATTAATCATCTAATCCATTTTTTCTCTGCTTTTCCTAACACTTTCTCCTTACTATTCTTTCTTTCCATCTGTCTTCTCTTTAGAAGAAAGCATAATTAAACCAATCGAAAAACTATCATGCAATGAAACTTTTCCTGAAAAATTAGAGGACCTACAAGGTAATTTCTGGGTGTCAGATGAATGCAATTTGTTCTTTGAATCTCTTGTCTAATCCTCTTCTCAACATGTGCCCCTAATCCTGACATAAAAGACCAAGATGATCTGCTTTTAGAAGTCAAATCAGGACTAGGACAAAGAAAAGCATTCTGTCTCATCAAGAATATCTTCCTTCAGTAATTGAGATTTTAAGATGAATATGCTCTCAAAAGGTTATATGCTGGTCTTCTTAAATTAATTATGGACATTTATAGAAGAAATCAAGCAAATAATTCTAATGAAAAGAATCAAAAGAGTATTTTCTAATTTTGTGATCTATATTCTTAGAATTTTTTTTCAAAGTTCTGAAATTCATTTATTAAGCATGAACAACCACTTTTCAAAAAAGGTTAGGCTGAGTGTGGTGGCTCACACCTGTAATCCCAGCACTTCAGGAGGCCGAGCTGGGCAGATCATGAGATCAAGAGATCGAGACTATCCTGGCCAACATGGTGAAACCCCATCTCTACTAAAAATACAAAAATTAGCCGGGTGTGGTGGCACATGTCTGTGATCCCAGCTACTCGGGAGGCTGAGGCAGGAGAATCGCTTGAACCCGGGAGGCGGAGGTTGCCGTGAGCCGAGGTTGCGCCACTGCACTCCAGCCTGGCAACAGAGCAAGACTCCATCTCAAATAAATAAATAAATAAATAATTTTTTTTTAAAAAAAAGGTTAACTGGGTTAATAGAGATGGTGGATTTCCTAGGGGTTCAGTGTCACTGGTTTCAACAGTGCTAACCACTGGCTCCAATCTGAAAATTCACAGCATACAAGGTACTTCAAATAATAAGCCAAAATAATTCAAGAAGACCTAATTTTCTGTTCTTTTTTTTTTTCCCTAACAACTTCTTTCTCCAATAAGAAGCATCATATAAGTGTTCAATGCATGAATCCTACAGTCTGATGTATCCCCATTTCGTCACTCACCAGCTTTTGTGGTTTGGGACAAGTAGTTTAAGCCAGCTTTCCCGTCCGTAAAATGGACGAAATTTCCTTAGGTATTCTTACATAACCCTATCTGGAATTTTGTCACATGCTGAGCATTTAATAAGTGTTTGCTCTGCTGATGACGATGAGAGCAAGAGACATGACTGAAGCTGCTAGTGAATCCAATCACTGCTTTGAATTTCCTTCCTAAAATGTTTCTGAAGTAAAAGGTTAAAGTAGGCAGCAGCTGAACTTATGCAAAATTCAGTAGGGTTAAACATGTATAGACTGAGAGCATGTGCTTACTGTATACAGTCCTTTAGGGGCTGATAACATAATATTGCACTTTAACATTTGTTGCTTCAAGAGCAGACACCTGTTGAAGCCTGATATGCCACGAGAGACCTCAGGGACACAAGAGCCCAGTGTTGAGACGTGTGAACAGATAACACTATGGAGAAAACACTCTGTTTACTGAACAGTGCTTTGAAACCACGAGGGTGATCAGAGCCCCGTTTCGCCTTCTAGAGATAACCTGTCTCCATGCAGAGCTAGCTCCACCTGTCACTTCCGGTTGTCGCTTATCTTCAGTCTGCTTCCTGCCAGTGCAGCAGCTCCGCTAGATCTTGACATCCCAGTGGCCAGATCCCATGGGCAGTGCTGATCCCATCCGAGTCCTCTGCCTCATCTCCCGTTCCTTTTTTCCACACTCAGTGTGTATTGTCTTAGATTTCCATACCCTGTTCCTCCTACCACCCCCCTCTCTACCTGTTCTCTTCCTCCATGGGGTCCTTTTCTCTCCTGTCCCTTAATGCTGATGTTCCTTGGGGGTCTACGCCAGGTCTCTGCGCATTCGCAGTCCCTCTGAGCTGGCTCCTCCAAGCCCACAACTCTGTAACCACCACACCCTGATCATTACCAGTCTCCACGCCTGCCTACGTGCCCTTTGCCTGCCACAACTTGAATGTCCTCCGGGTACCACGTCTTTCCCCCAATCCTCATTCTCCTCCTATGTTGCTATCCATGGACAATGCACCCAGTCACCTGAGCTACAAACTTAGTTTAGATTCCCCTCTTTCCCTGCCACCTCCACCCCGTGAACCTGCTTCGTTCCCTTCTTCTTCACCCTCTGCCACTGTTGTGGTTCAGACCCTCATCCTCTCTCATTTCAGCTATTAGCAGTGACTTCCTGACTGGTCTCCAGACTCTAGATTTTTCCTCATCAATGCATCCCTATGCTACCGCCAGACTGAGCATGCACCGATAGTGATGATGATGGTGACGATAATGATGGCAATGATGCTAGCTGACATTTAATGAGTACAGATTCTATGCCACATGCTCTGAAGAGTCTCATCAATCCCTACAACAGCCCAACGAGAATAAGTCCACTTACAACCATTTTACAGAACGAAGACAGACACAGAGAGCACTTCAGAGATGGGGGCTTCGCAGTGGGAAACATAGCCCCATATTAAGAAGCGGGATCGTGAGAAAACCTGGCATGTTCAGGGTGAACTGAACACCCCTGGGCCTTGAGTTCAGACTCCAGCTCAGTCTCTTACTAACCGTGAGAAGTTAGGCAAGTTACTCAACATCAGAGAGCCACACGATATGGATAATAATGTGGATAATAATGTGATCTCAGAGGGCTGTTGTATGGATGGAATAAGAATATCTGTAACAAGCACAGCATAGTGCCTAGAACATAGTAGATGCTGAAAAGTAGTATTTAGAGGTAATGGGGGAGTATTCATTGTTATTCTACTGTGCCTAAAATATTCACCTTCTGACTGTGAAACTTTATGATATGTCACTAGGAAATCTTGGAAGCTATGCTACTTACAATCAGTCAGGATATATTCCTTCCTTTCTCAAAAAAGAAGTGCAGTCAGCTGGCCAGAGGATCCACTTAGCACCTCTCAATGCAACGGCTTCAGGTAAGAACAACTTCAGATACGGTTTTCTAGATTCCTGAGCAGAAAGGAGCATTTTCCTTTTTAAGTTTATGCAGTAACTTTTCCCAGCAAAGACTTTTAGTCAGCCTCACCTCATTCATGCATTTCTTTTTGTTTTTACCGAAATGTCCTATTTTTCTTCCAAAAATGTGTATTTGAGGGTCTAATAATTATAAGAAGAGCTACCTCTAATTAAGTGGTGACTCTCTGCCAGGCACAGTGTAAAGGGCTTACTGGGATTATATCATTTAATCCTCATGATAACCTGATGGTGTAGCTAGATCTCTTCTTTACAGATGACGAAATGTAGGTGAAGTAACTTACCTGAGGTCACACAGCTAGTGGAGCTGGGATAGAAACTCAACTTAATCCACTTCCAAAGAGTGTGCCGTGCTGCACAGTGAGATGTGAGAAAATGCCTTTTCCAGAGCCCTCTGCCCGGGACCTGGCACAGGGTGAAAGCTTAATAAATGCTGACACTCTATTTATGAATGAGTCAACATGACGTGTGTCTCTACAGTTCCATCTTAGGGCGTAGAAGTGAGTGGTGGCAGGACTTTCACACCCTGCCTTTTGCTTTGCAATAGTATTCGGTGGGGAAGGGTTTATCCCTCCACCCTCCAGCGATATGCCTAACTGAGGTAAGCCTGCTCCCCAGTGGCGTGGCATGTGACAGCCACATGTCGGGGTACACACTTGAAATGGAGGGTGATGATTCTGTACTTAAGCCAGTCAGATTTGACCATGAATGGTCTCTGAATCATTTTAATCTGAAATAGATATCCTTAGTGAAGCACCAAAAATAAACATTGAAGCAAATTATTAGAACTTTGATAAGATACCTAATTGTAGTTTATTTATTTTAACTCTTTTTAATAGAGAAAAAGCCTTGCTCTGTCACCCAGGCTGGAGTGCAGTGATGCAATTATGGTTCACTGTAGCCTCGAATTCCTGGGCTCAAGTGATCCTCCTGCCTCGGCTTTCTGAGTAGATGGGAATACAGGTGCACACCACCACGCCCAGCTAATTCAAAAATATTTTTTTTGTAGGAACAGGGCCTTGCTATGTTGCCAAGCTGATCTTGACTCCTGGGCTCAAGCAATCCTCCCACCTTGGCCTCCCCAAACTCTGGGATTACGGGCATGAGCAACTATGCCTGGCCTGTAGTTTAATTTAAAAGTTGACTCTGAAAGTATGCTCACAGCCTATCCTAACCACTATCTTATATTAAAACCCCTGATTAGATATGCCAGTCTTTAAAGTTCACACTATTGGAGCTAAAAATGTATAAAGCCTGGACTTCTTTAATTTTTTATTTCTTGCCACAACAGAACTGCTTAAGTAGTACTACAGTTACCTTATCTGTGAAAAGAATTGCTTCATTATCTTTCCGCTGAAACAAAATAAGTAAACATTTTATATACAGCAGTGGTATTTATAAAGCCTCAAATATTTAAGCCAGCCTTATAAGTCATTCATTTAGAAATATAAAATTTTATTGATTTATTTTTTTGAGATGGAGTCTTGCTCTGTTGCCCAGTCTGGAGTGCAGTGGTGTAATCTCAGCTCACTGCAACCTCCACCTCCCGGGTTCAAACAATTCTCCTGCCTCAACCTCCTAAGTAGCTGGGATTACAGGCATGCACCACCATGCCCAGCTAATTTTTTTTGTATTTTTAGTAGAGACGCAGTTTCACCATGTTGGTCAGGCTGGTCTTGAACTCCTGACCTCAAATGATCATCCTGCCTTGGCCTCTCAAAGTGCTGGGATTACAGGTGTGAACCACTGTACCCAGCCACATTTTATATTTTTAATATAAAAGCAAAAAATCATAATGTTTCAAATTATTTTGTTACCTCAGTATCTACTCTTATAAATCAAGAGTGGGTCTTTTAAAAAATATTTTTGTAAGATATTGAAGGCCTTTATATATTAATTATTCTATCCAATTAGCATGCATATTCCTGTTTTCATTTTTTTAAGTAAATGCTTTTTCTTAACTTTTCATTTCTTTACTTTGCTTATCAGAATTTTCTCCAGATGGTGATAGGAGGAAAGGTAAAAAATGAAGTAAATATTAATCACTCTCAAGTGGTCAATGCAAATCCTTAGAAAAACACTGTTCTGTAAGAGATGCGTCTTCCTGTCATCCCAGTTGGGTGACAGTTTCCCACAAGAAAATAAAACCAGGTCATTACCATATTTACCCAACTATTTTCCCCTTCTCCATAGTCTCGTCTTTGCTCTTCTTTCTCCCCTTCAAGTTTGTTTTGTTTTGTTTTTTGTTTTTGTTTTTATTGAGACAGAGTCTTGCTCTGTCACAAGGCTGGAGTGCAGTGGCGCAATCTCAGCTCCCTACTGCAACTTCTGCCACCTGGGTTCAAGCAATTCTCCTGCCTCAGCCTTCCTAGTAGCTGGGACTACAGGTGCGCGCCACCACGCCCAGCTAATTTATGTATTTTTAGTAGAGACGGGGCAGGATGATCTCAATCTCTTGACCTTGTGATCTGCCTGCCTCAGCCTCTCAAAGTGCTGGGATTACAGGCGTGAGCCACCGCACCCGGCCTCTACCTCTCTAATTTTGAGACGGAAAATCAATGTCTTCCTCCCCGCGTAATCTCTCCTTCCAAACTTCCTAATACTTCCTTATTCCTTGCCTTGAAACTAACAACAAGGACTTGGAGGAGTGACTTCTGTTCTACACAGCACCCTTTAGGATCACTGTAGAAGTGCGGGATCCTGTTTTAAGCACTCTGTGTACATTAACTCATTAATTCTCCCAGGGCTCTATTCCAGGAGGTACTATTATGATCTGCATCTTACACAAGTTTTATATCTTGCTAACAGTTACATCATAGTGGCATCAATTAAATCCACAACTAAAGGCAAACTTCTTTCATTTAGCACAGATTTTCTATAAGAAGTTAAATGTCCTTGATAGGACAGATGCAGTTTTTAAACACAGAGCAAGCATTACAAGGCTCACTATCCCGCTCTTGTGGGGCGGTGAGGTGCAGGGTGGTCCCACTAAAGCGCAAAAGCATTTCTTGCCCTGCCACGAGATCTGGGCTCCTCTCAGCTATTGGGTTATTCACCAAAGGTACTTGAGTCCTAAAATTCTAGTGTATCTAGGAAAGGAACCCTAAATCTCAACTCTACCCCCGTCTTAGCACAATGATTCCCTCTTGAAAAAGTTTTACAAAATATTGTCCTGAACACAATTTCATTTAAAACCATTTAGGACTTGACTTAGGTGATGTCATGACCTGGAAAAAGGCTTTTCTTTTTGTTACTCCCCAAAGCTCTCAATTCTTGCCCTCAGAGCCTCACTCATTAGCTTAATGCCATGCTCCCTTTTCCCTCTCTGAATCAGCTGGGCTTATTCCTCTCTCCCGCTCTCTACTGCCCTCCCACGCTGTCTCTTCTACTCCTACTTTGACCTATGGCCCACATGGGTGAGCTCAACTAATTTAGCAGACAGAGGCTCCTTTCTCTTCCAATGGCTGTAACTAAAGGGCTCTTCCTAGAAAACATGGTGCCTAACTGGCCTTCGTAGACACGTTGTCCCTGACTTTGTTAGATAGCTTTTTAGTGGCGTTGACTTTGAGAATTTTAGCCCAGTAAAAGAGTGGAATAGAAGGACCTGTCAAACCATGGAGTGGGGAGCTCTTGGCCTCCCTGCCTCCACCAAACTACACCGCAGCCAGGCTGCCGTCTTCCCCAGGGTGTCCACGCTTAATATCTTGTTCACCCGTGCTGAAGTTAGTAGCTTGTCAGGACCACGTGCTCACAGAATTCCCTCTTACCTCCCAGTTTTACAGGGAAAATTTAAGAAAAACTGCCAACCATGCCAGTAAATATGGGATAGCTAGGGCTGGGGATACAAAATGGTCAGATTCATTTCAGCATTAACACTTAGAGTTTAATCCAAGAATGGCAGCTACTACACAGTGTGAAGAGATATTTAAACCCCAGATGGAGAAAGCAAACATCCCTCCTCAGATACAATACCTGTGATACCTTAGCTCTCAGTTCGAGGTGAGGAAAGCATGAAGGAAGGACTGAAGAAGGCATCAAAAGTTCTCTGGAAAATGATCTCCTGCTTTGTCCTTTGAAATGTTGAAGCAGTTTTAGCTCATAAATTGTTCAGATAACAAATGTTCAGGAAATTTTAAATTTTTCACAAATTTTTAAACAGTCAGATATATGAATGAAACAACCTTGTAATTAAAAGTTTAGGATCCGGCCGGGCGCGGTGGCTCATGCCTGTAATCCCAGCACTTTGGGAGGCCGAGGCGGGCGGACCACGAGTTCAGGAGATCAAGACCATCCTGGCTAACACGGTGAAACCCCGTCTCTACTAAACAAATACAAAAAATTAGCCGGGCATGGTGGCGGGTGCCTGTAGTCCCAGCTACTCTGGAGGCTGAGGCAGGAGAATGGTATGAACCCAGGAGGTGGAGCTTGCAGTGAGCTGAGATTGCACCACTGCACTCCAGCCTGGGCGACAGAGCTAGACTCCGTCTCAAAAAAAAAAAAAAAAAGAAAAGAAAAGAAAAAGTTCAGGATCCTACCATTTCAGAGAGTTGTGTTCCCACCTATGATTTTCCCAATAAGAAATGAAGTATTGGCCGGGTGCGATGGCTCACACCAGTAATCCCAGCACTTTGGGAGGCTGAGGTGGGTGGATCACCTTAGGTCAGGAGTTCCAGACCAGCCTGGCCAACATAGAAAAACTCCATCTCTACTAAAAATACAAAAACTAGCTGGGCATGGTGGTGCGCCCCTGTAATCCCAGCTGCTCAAAAGGCTGAGGCAGGAGAATCGCTTGAACCCAGGAGGTGGAGGTTGCAGTGAGCTGAGATCGCTCCATGGGCAACAAGGACGAAACTCCGCCTCATTAAAAAACAAAACAAAACAAACAAACAAACAAAAAAACTTCATCATAAAACCCACATTTTAATTTTTAAAAAGAAATCTATTATAGGACCCCATGTGTGTTTCTCCATGAAGCCACAGTTTTATAGATTCACAATTCCAAATACATTTTTCTGTGGTGATACTGTGTGAATGTTATTTAGATGTAACCACAGTGTGACATTACAAAGTCACTAACACTGTGGGTGTTGCCCATTGAATTTGAGCCAATAATTTTTCTTGGTCTTCTTACCTGGCTTTGCCTATCTAAAAGTAAAATATTGAAAATAGCAGTAGCGTCAGCACTATAAACCAGGAATGTTGGCTCTTCAGCTACTGAAAATTCTTTTTTTTTCTTTTTTGAGACGGAGTTTCACTCTTGTCGCCCAGGCTGGTGTGCAATGGTACGATCTCGGCTCACTGCAACCTCTGACTCCTGGGTTCAAGTGATTCTCCTGCCTCAGCCTCCTGAGTAGCTGGGAATACAGTCACCCGCCACCACGCTCAGTTGACTTTTTTATATTTTTAGTAGAGACGAGGTTTCACCATATTGGCCGGGCTGGTCTCAAACTCCTGACCTCAGGTGATCCACCTCGCCTCAGCCTCCCAAAGTGCTAGGATAACAGGCATGAACCACTGCGCCCGGCCAGCTATTGGAAATTCTAATTGATGTCAACATAATAGTACACTACAATTTTTGGTTTTAACATTTAAAAAGCCTCAGAGAGTACTGAGTTAATCTTTTAAACATAAATTCAGATTTTCCCCATCAAATGAGAGGATGAATTTCTTTGAGTTTGAAAAGCAAATGAGTAAAACCCTATTTTCCAAATCTGATTTCTTTCAGAATATACCTGGAACACAAAAACTGGTCGGGGGCAGTTTTCAGGACGTACTTACAATCCTACAGCAAAAAACCTAAATATTGTGAACCGTGCACAGCCCATTCCCTCAGTGCACGGGAGGACAGACTGGGTGGCCAAGTATGGAGGCCACCGGTAGGAGTCTGTGGTGTGAAACCCCACAGCACTGCTCCGTAGAGTACGTGCAAGTTCCTTGACCCTGGGAAATGTCTACAGATGTCTATTTCTACTGAGTTCTGGAAGAAATATGCAAAAGTGGGTACTTGGAAGAGCAAAAATCATCCCCTATTTTATTTATTTCCAAGAAATGCATTTTCTTAGAATCATTGCCCACAGTGTTGATATATGGGTAGGATGTTATAAAGTATTGAATAAACTATTTGCCAAAGTATGAAGTATTTGATCTACAATTTAATAAATAGTAAATCCAATAAGAACCCTTAAAAAAAAAAACTTCCAGAAAATGTTTAGCGTGTTTTAGTTTTCATTTGTTGTATGTGCCCAAATGGTTTAGTAGTTCTTCACTTTGCTGTGATTGGCTCAAGAGGTTTGTCTTTTGTTTTTGTACAGCAGTTGGGCCAACCTCTGCTGGCTGTCAGCTGTGGTTCTTATTTGGCTAAGGCTCTGCGCTGCCATTTTGTCAGTGACAGAAAGATTGCAATTATTTGTTTTTCTTCTTTGAAGCTATGGGAGAGATGGTAAGTTCAATCTTGAGCAGGATGTCTTTTTTTTTTTTTTTTTTTTTTTTTTGAGGCGATGTTTCACTCTTGTCCAAGCTGGAGTGCAGTGGCACCATCTTGGCCTACTGCAACCTCCACCTCCTGGGTTCAAGTGATTTTCCTGCCTCAGCCTCCCGAGTAGCTGGGATTAGAGGCGTGACCACCACGCCCAGCTAATTTTTGTAGTATTAGGAGAGACAGGGTTTCACCATGTTGGTCAGGCTCAGGCTGGTCTCGAACTCCTGACCTCAGGTGATCCACCTGCCTCGGCCTCCCAAAGTGTGGAGATTACAGGTGTGAGCCACAGTGCCCAGCCTTTTTTTTTTTTTTTTTTTTTTTTTTTTTTAGAAATAAATGTATCTTTAACATAGAGAGTATCAAAGTTATGCCACCTGGTTTTAGTAGACCGCCTGTATTTTGATCTTGACAGTACAGCTCCTATGAATTCAAGGTGACTGTCAAACCCGATGGCTTGATGACTTTGATATTAATCAAGTCAAGGTTCTCTTGGTTTGACATCATTAAGAAAGTTTTGGAAACTGTGTTTGATGCTGGTTCATTGGACTCTTCAAACTGCTTTGTTTCTGTGTCCCTACCAGACTCAAAGGTGAAGCGTGCCAGCTGGTTCCCCCAAGCCAACTCATGCTGCTGACCGCTGACTCAGCTCTGACGTTCACATTTGCTGTAATGCAAGTGCGTTCAGCTGCTGGGGCAGTGATATCACATAGTACACATATTATTTTCTTAGTTTATTTCCAAACTGGTATTTTAAACAGACACTTCGAACTTTGGGCTACTCTGTTTAAACTTGCCACTTTCTGGGCTGGACCTTAGTACTGTAAATTCTTTTTAAAGAATAATAATGTTAACTGCTGAGATTTTTATGTATTTTGTGACTTTGTAACAACTGCTATTGTAATAGGTGTCATCTTGTGGGCATTATCCAAGGCATATTATAAAATAATAATAATGATATTTTTGTATAGAAGATTCAACTGTTCAGATGTAAAATGCTGAAAAATGTTAAAATCTAAAGAGTAATTTATCCTAGGGGTAATGGTTATATGTATTTGTACAGTTTAATGTCTCAAAGCTGTGCAGTCTTTTGTGTTACTGGGAAACTTTTAAACTCTGAATAGACATTAAAATAAATATGGTTAACTAGTGTGTTTTCATTATATTTTTAAACCTTATATCCTGAATTCTATTTGTTGTTGTTTTCATTAGTAGTCTTTAAAAAAAGCAGTTTTAGGGCCGGGCAAAGTGGTTCACACCTGTAATCCCAGAACTTTGGGAGGCCTAGGCGGGTGGATCACTTGAGGTCAAGAGTTCAAGACCAGCCTGGCCAAGATGGCGAAACCCCATCTCTACTAAAAATACACAAAAATTAGCTGGGCATGGTGGTGGGCACCTGTAATCCCAGCTACTTGGGCGGCTAAGGTAGGAGAATTACTTGAACCTGGGAGGCAGCAGTTGCAGTGCACTGAGATCATGCCACTACACTCCAGCCTGGGCGACAGAGCGAGACTCCGTCTCAAAAAAAAAAAAAGCCATTTTATATTTATGAAAATATTGATCAGAAAGTAGAGTTCCCATATGCCCCTTCGTCTCCCCCTCCCTGATTTTCCCTGTTATCAACATCTTGCATTCATATAGATAATTCATTACAACCCATAAGCCAGTATTGATACATTGTTATTAATTAAAGTCCATAGTTTATAATAGGGTTCACTCTTGTGTTGTACTCTATGGGTTTTGACAAAACGTATAACGACATGTATCCACCATTATAGTATAAGAATCGTTTTACTCTCTCAAAATCCTGTCATCTCCCTATTCATCCTTCCCTATCTTGCCCTGAACCTCTGGCCACCATTGACCTTGTTACTGTCTCCACAGTTTTTCTTTTTCCAGAATTACCTGGGGTCAGAAGTTGGAGACCAGCCTGGCCAACATGATGAAACCCCACCTCTACTAATAATACAAAAACATTAGCTGGCCGTGGTGGTGCATGCCTGTAATCCCAGCTACTTGGGAGGCTAAGACAGGAGAATTGCTTGAACCCGGGAAGTGGAGGTTGCAGTGAGCCAAGATTGTGCCATTGCACTCCAGCCTGGGCAACAAGAGTGAAACTCGATCTCCAAAAATAAAAAAATAAAATAAATAAATAAAATAATAAAAGAAACTGCCAAACTGTCCTCCAAAGTATCTGTACCATTTTGTGTTTCCTGCAGCAATGAATGAGAGCTCCTGTTGCTCCACATCCACACCAGTGTTTGGTGGCATCAGTGTTTTGAATTTTGGTCATTATAATAGATGTGTAGTGGCATCTCACTGCTATTATGCTTTTCACACTCTAATGACATGATGTTGAGCACCTTTTCATATGCATTACCATCTGTCTATCTTCTTGGGTGAGGTATCTGTTCAGATGCTTTGTCTACCTTTAAATTGGGTTATTTTCTTGACTACTGAGTTTTAAGAGTTTGTCTATTTTGGGTAACATTCCTTTATCAGATATGTCTTTGGCAAATATTTTATCCCAATCTGTGGCTTGTCTTTTCTTTCTCTTGACAATGTCTTTCAAAGAACAGGAGTTTTTAAATTTAATGCAGCCTAACTTAATTTTTTCTTGCATAAATTGTGCTTATCATGTCATATCTAAAAAGGTATCACCAAACCCAAGGTCATTTATTATTTTATCCTGTTATTTTCTATGAGGCTTTAAAAAAAAAAAACAAAAACGTTTTTTAGAGATGGGGGTCTCACTCTGTTGTCCAGGTTGGAGTGCAGTGGCACAATCATAGCTCACTGGGCTCAAGCCTCCTCCCTCCTCAGCCTTCCAAGTAGCTGGGACTGCAGGCGTGTACCACCACAACCAGCTAATAGGAGTTTTATAATTTGCATTTTAAATTTAGATCTGTGATCCATATTCAGTTAATTTTTGTGAAAGATGTAAGTTCTGTATCTTGAGGTTTTTTTCATGTTAATGTCCTGTGATTCCAGCAGTTGCTTTTTTGTTTTTTTTGTTTTTTTTTTTGACAAAGAGTCTCACACTGACACCCAGGCTGGAGTGCAGTGGCATGATCTTGGCTCAGTGCAGCCTCCACCTCCTAGGTTCAAGCGATTCTCCTGCGCCAGCCTCCTGAGTAGCTGGGATTACAGGTGCCTACCACCATGCCTGGCTAATTTTTGTATTTTTGGTAGAGATGGGGTTTCACCATACTGACCACTCTGGTCTGGAACTCCTGACCTCAAGTGATCCACCCACCTTGGCCTTCCAAAGTGCTGGGATTACAGGCATGAGCCACTGCGCCGGCACATTCGTTGAAAAGTCTACCTTTTTTCTTCATTGACTTGCCTCTGCTCCCTTTGTTAAAGATCATTTGACTGTATTTATGTGGGTCTGTTTCTGGGTCCTCTATTCTGTTCCAGATCTATTTGTCTATTCTTTCCCAATACCACACTGTCTTATTTACTTTAGCTTTATAAAAGTTTTGAAGTTGAGTAATGTCAGTCCTCCAATTTGTCTGTCTCCTTCAATATATTATGTTGACTATTAGGGTCTTTTACTCCTCCATATAAACTCTAAAATCAGACTGTCGATATCCACAAAGTAACTTACTGGGATTTTGATTGGGATTACACTGAATCTAGATCAAGCTGGGGAGAACTGATATCTTCTTTGACTTCTTTCATTGGTTTTGTAGTTTTTCTCATATAGCTCTTGTACATATTTTGTTAGATTTATAGCTAAATATGTGAGGTTTTTTGGTGCTAATGTAAATTATACTGTAATTTTTTCTTCCCCTCCAATACTGTATTTTTAATTTCAAACTTTAATTCTTCATTGCTGGTATATAAGAAAGCAAATGACTCATATATTAACATTATATCCTCATACCTGCTATAATCACTTATTAGTTCCAGGAGTTTCTTTGTTGACTCTTTGGGACTTTGCACAGACAATCAGGTCACCTGCAAGCAAAACAGTTTTATTTATTCCTTCCTAATCAGTATACCTTTTACTTGCTTTTATTGTCTTATTGCATTAGCTAGGACTTCCAGTATAGCACTGGAGTGGTGAGCGTAGATAGCCTTACCTTGTTCTGGTTTTAGCAGGGAAAACATCTAATTTCTCCCCTTATTAAGTATGATGTTAGCTGTAGGGGTTTTTAAATAGATATGCTTTACCAATTTGAGAAAGCTCCTCTTTCCAGTTTTCTGGGAGTTTGTATTATACACGGATGTTGGATTTTGTCAAATCCATTTTCTGCGTTTATTGATGTGCTCATGTGATTTTTCCTCATCGGCCTGTGAATGTGATATTTACATTAATTGATTTTCAAATCTTGCAACTCAGCCTTGCATGTAAATCCCACTGGATTGTGGTGTATTATTCCTTTTCTATATTGTTTGACTTGATTTGCTGATACTTTAGAGGCTTTTTCATTTCTGTTCATGTGTGTGTGTCTGTGTGTGTATTTAGAGAGAGAGAATGTGCCGAATGCTAACAACGGGTGAATCAGTGAGACTAGGTGAAGGGTATGTGGCTGCTCCTGAAGATTATTGAAACTTTCCTGTAGATATGAAAATGTTCAAAATAAAATGTTAAAACAACATAAATATATAAAGCAAAGATTTATAAATATAGAAAGAAATGATCAGAGTGGGAGGTTTTTCTCAGAAAAAAATATCTAGAGACCTAAAATAAGTAAAGAAATAATAACACAGTAAACTAAGTTTTTCAAAAGTATACCATATAGAACTTTGACCAACAAGGAAAATCTTCACATTCTTCTTAAATACATGTAACATTCACAAAAAATGTAACCCTATTGTTAGGCTGCAAAAAAAATCTTAAATTCTCAAATGGGCCGGGCACGGTGGCTCAAGCCTGTAATCCCAGCACTTTGGGAGGCCAAGGCGGGTGGATCACGAGGTCAGGAGATCGAGACCATCCTGGCTAATAGGGTGAAACCCCGTCTCTACTAAAAATACAAAAAACTAGCCAGGCGGGGTGGTGGACGCCTGTAGTCCCAGCTACTCGGGAGGCTGAGGCAGGAGAATGGCGTAAACCCGGGAGGCGGAGCTTGCAGTGAGCTGAGATCCGGCCACTGCACTCCAGCCTGGGCGACAGAGCGAGACTCCGTCTCAAAAAAAAAAAAAAAAAATTCTCAAACGTAGAAATATGCAAGCCACAATCTCTTTCTACAGTGTAATAAAATTGGAATATCACAAAAAGCCATGGCCCCCAAATCTATCCACTTAAAAATTCAAAAATATTGTTCTAAATAAATGTTTCAAAAAGGAAATATCAAAATTGAAATGAAAAGCCTTTTAGAAATGGACAATAATATACCTCTATATTAAGAGGTGTAACATCCAGCCAAAACAGATCTCAGAAAAAAATTATGCGCATGGTTTATTTGTGAAAGAAGCGAGCATGGAAAATATGCTGAATTTGAGCATTTAATGTAGGAAGCTAGAAAAAGAGTAACAATGTAAAAAAATGTTTTTAAGTAGATTTCAGCCCAGTAGCAACAAGATACCTAGTACTCAGATACTGGTTTCCAATACCACTGTTCAATAAAAGGAACCAGGGCTACTTGGAGAAATGGCTGATTCTAGTACTAGGACAGGAAATATACAAGATGAGCCTAGAACGTCTTGTAGTGCCAGACAATAAGGAAGTTCTACAAACACACAAACTAGCCCAATAAGGAAGTTCTACAAACACACAAACCCTTTGGCTATGCCAAAGGGACACAGAGGTCAACTGAGTTTCCAATGGCCAAAGCTGCAACAATTTGAGCAAGAAAATAAGTGTTACAACCCCAAGAAAAAAGAACTATCCATGAGTCCATACTAAGATGAATGCATGGATGAATGCATGAATGGCCAAGTGCAGTGGTGACTCACGCTTATAACTCCAGCACTTTGAGAGGCCGAGCTAGGTAGATCACCTGAGGTCAGGAGGTTGAGACCAGCCTGGGCAACATGGTGAAACACCAGCTCTGCTAAAAATACAAAATTAGCCTGGTATGGTGGCACACGCCTGTAGTCCCAGCTACTAGGGAGGCTGAGACAGGAGAATCACTTGAACCCAGTAGGTAGAGGCTGCAGTGAGCCCAGATTGTGCCACAGCACTCCAGCCTGGGCGAGAGGTCCCAGGCGAGAGGTCCCGACCTGAGGTCAGGAGTTCGAGACCAGCCTCACCAACATGAAGAAACCCTGTCTCTACTAAAAATACAAAATTTGCTGGGCGTGGTGGCACATGCCCTTAATCCCAGCTACTCGGGAGGCTGAGGCAGGAGAATCGCTTGAACCTGGGAGACAGAGGTTGTGGTGAGCCGAGATCGCACCATTGCACTCCAGCCTGGGTGACTAAGCGAGACTCTATCTCAAACAAAAGAGTAAAAATGTGAAGTGCTTTCCAAAGACGCAAAATCTTGTAACGGCCCAATGGGTTCACTTTGCCCTTTGCCTAGACAGAGCCGATTTATCAAGACGGGAACTGCAATAGAGAAAGAGTAATTCACACAGAGCCAGCTGTGCAGGAAATTGGAGTTTTATCGGTACTCAAATCAGTCTCCCAGAGCATTCAGGGATCGAAGTGTTTAAGGATAGCCTGGTGTGCCGGGGGCAGCCAGTGAGTCAGGAGTGCTGATTGGTCCGGTGGGAGATTAAGTCATAGGGAGTGCAAGCTGTCCTTTTGCACTCAGTCAGTTCCTGGGTGGAGGCTACAAGATCAGATAAGCCAGTTTATCAATCTGGGTGATGCCAGGTGATCCATCAAGTGCAGGGACTGCAAAATATCTCAAGCGCTGATTTTAGGCTTTACAATAGTGATGTTACCCCAGGAGCAATTTGGGAAGGGTCAGAATCTTGTAGCCTCCAACTCCTTGTGACTCCTAAATCATATTTTCTAATCTTTTGGCTAATTTTTTAGTGCTACAAAGGCAGTCAAGTCTCCAGGTAAGAAGGGGTTTGTTTCGGGAAAGGACTGTTATTCATCTTTGGGTTTTTTGTTTTGTTTTGTTTGACACGGAGTCTTGCTCTGTCGCCATGCTGGAGTGCAGTGGCGCGATCTCGGCTCACTGCATTCTCTGCCTCTCAGGTTCAAGCAATTCTGCTGCCTCTGCCTCCCGCGTAGCTGGGACTACAGGCGCCCACCATCACCATGCCAGCTAATTTTTTTTTGTATTTTTAGTAGAAACAGGGTTTCACTGTGTTGGCCAGGATGGTCTCGATCTTCTGACCTCATGATCCACCCACCTCAGCCTCCTAAAGTGTTGGGATTACAGGTGTGAGCCACCACGCCGGGCCTTCATCTTTGTTTTAAACTATAAACTGAGTTCCTCCCACAGTTACTTCAGCCCACACCAGAATGAACTAAGATAGCTTGGAGGTGAGAAGTAAGATGGAGTGGGTTAGGCCAGATCTCTTTCACTATCCCAGTTACAATTTTGCAATGGTGGTTTCAATCTGAAAGCCATAAATAAAATATAATAAATTTGATTTCATAAATGTTTACTTTCTGTACAACAGCAAAATAAACAAAATCAAGAGACAACAAATGAGAGGAAAATATTTTCAATATATATGATAAAGAACACGTTTTTATACTAGAGTCTCAGACTATCCAGTGTTTTCAATTAAAAAACCAAAAACATGAACAAATGAGATTAAAGGCAGCTCACAGAAAAAAATATAACTGGTCAATAAATGTATGAAAGATGCTTAATAATTCATAACTAAATCACCGAAACCATTAGATAACATTTTTTGGATAGATTAGGGGTTGGCATGGACAGAGCAGGAGCATCGCCATCTTGGACAAGCCCTCATTCTAAAGTTCACCTTCATAAAAAACCGCCTGAATTCAAAGGGCATCAGCCTAATGGCTAAGGTCAGCACTACCATAAACCACAACATCTTCAACCAGAAACATTCCAAACTCCTCTCAGACCAGAGACATGCTGGCCCCAAGATAAGACCCCTCCAGCCGGGAAGATGTTTGTCCCAAGATAACCCCTCCTCCCAGAGAGATTCCAACCCCGCCATGAACACACACAAACATTCCAAGCTTCTGGTAAGTCCCCTCACCCTAAAACCAATATACACTCTTAGTCTGTAGGAGAAAGTGCTCCTAACTGAAATCGGCCGGGAGGCCTCTCAGGTTTTAACTAAAGAAAACCTGTCTTTGACTGCAAAGCCACGTTTCATGTTTCTTTCTTCTTTCTTTAACTCTTACAGGCATGACTATGGTCAGCGAGCCAATGCTAGTCCATTGCCTGTTTTTGTGCAGACAGCAAGCTAAGAATGGATTTGCATTTAGAAATGGTTGAAAAAAATCAATATAAGACTACTATTTTGTGATATGTAGAAACCATATGAAATCCAGATTTCAGGGCCCATACGTACAGTTTTATTGGAACAGTTACACTCATTTACCGATTGGCTATGGCTGCTTTCATTCTACAAAGGCAGAGGTGAGCAGCTGGGACACAGATGGCCTGCGAAGCCTAAAATACTCACTATCTGGTCCTTTACACAATAAGTTTGCAGACTTTCAGCTTAACGTGTCAAAAGATTTTTAAAAAGTTCACTTCCACAGTTAGCCACCGCTAGTGGGAGGGTAAATTGGTGCATTTTCTTCTGAGGGCAATCACAGTTTTAAATGCTGAGATGCTCTGACTCTGCATTGAGGAATGTAACCTACAGATTCCTTTGCACATGTTCATGGGGATTTCCATGAGGGTATTTCTTGGTACACCATCCTTTGTAATATCAAAGGCCTCAGGGGATCTGCCCACCTCGGCCTCCCAAAGTGTTGGGATTACAGGCGTGAGCCACTGCTCCAGGCTATCAAAGACATTAAACAAGACATATTTCTATCAGTAGGGGAATGGTAAACTAAATAGTAAACATCCGTACAACTTAAAAGCCATTATAAAGAATTAGATCTTGGCCCGGAGCAGTGGCTCACGCCTGTAATTCCAGCACTTTGGGAGGCAAGGCGGGTGGATAACCTGAGGTCAGGAGTTCAAGACCAGCCTGGCCAACATGGTGAAACCCCATCTCTACTAAAAATACAAAAAAGCCGGGTATGGTGGTGCACACCTGTAATCCCAGCTACTCAGGAGGATGAGGCAGGAGAATCACTTGAACCCGGTAGGTGGAGGTTGCAATGAACTGACATCGCATCATTGCACTCCAGCTTGGGCAACAAGAGCTATACATCTCAAAAAAAAAAAAAAAAAAAGATCCCAAAGAAAGGGTTGAACCCAGCTATGCTACATAGTTTCATGCCTTTGAGGCACTGTATGTGTTGTTCCCTCTATCCGAGACATTTGCCCTTCCTTACCTATGAAATCCTCATAGACAACTCACAAAAGGAGTTCATGTCAACTGACTCATGAATCAACTGACAAGACTCAGTTTAACTATTGGTTGCTTTGTGAAGCCTCCCTTGACTCCCTAAACAGAAATGCCCACTCCCCCACTTGTGCCCCCACAGTAATAGGGATCTACCTCCATTATGCACTTATTTCTCTACTGCCTTTGTTTAGACGTCCGCCTCCTCCACTAGACTCCAAAAGGGCAAGCACCATGACTTGTTCTTTGCACTGCTAGGACCCAGCGCAACCCTTAGCAGTAAATACTCCGGGACCTTTGCAGAGAAGCAGGGACGAGGGGACCTGGCAAGGGCTATGAAGACCTCCTGCCTCTCATCTGCGGGCAGCCTTAGAATTTTCCAGGCTGATTGCTGGGGATCAAATAGTCACACAGGGATCTACTTGGCACCTAAACTAATTCCCAACTTCAGGGAACCTTGTCATTCAGGAGGAGCCAGGTCCTCCTCTAGGACTGAAGATGGCAAAATTGTGTGCCCTTTGGAAACACTCCATGACACATGAAAAAAGGGCCAACATTAGACTCAAACTCTTAGCTATGGAAGCCTGGGAGGCTGGTAGCTTTGGATGGTCTATGGCCTTCTGATGCCTCTACCACTGCAACACAAGTGCCCTCAATTGTCCAGAGTTCTATAAAAAAGGATGGAAAACTAGGATCACCATCAAGGGGCTTATGCAAATACATAAAGTGTCTGAACTACACTCTAAACTCAACCAGTATCAGTTAGGGGAAATCAGTAGCAAATACCTTTTTTTTTTTTTTGAGACGAGAGTCTCGCTCTGTCGCCCAGGTCGGAGTGCAGCGGCGCGATCTCAGCTCGCTGCAGCCACCGCCTTCCGGGTTCAAGCAATTCTCCTGCCTCAGCCTCCTGAGTAGCTGGGATTACAGATGCATGTCACCACACCCAGCTAATTTTTGAATTTTTAGTGGAGACAGGGTTTCACCATGTTGGCCAGGCTGGTCTCAAACTCCTGGCCTTGTAATCCACCCACCTCGGCCTCCCAACGTGTTGGGATTACAGGTGTGAGCCACCACGCCCAGCTCCTTACCTTTTTAAATGGAATGAAAACTAAAGCAAAGGGCACCAGATTAATTCTTCATATTGAAACATGAATAAAGTAAACTAAAAACGTACCAGTATCCAGTAAATGTGTCCAATGTAGAGACCAAATTAGGTGATTCAAGCTCTAGATGGGTCTTCCAGTTTCACAATTACATATGAACTAATTAACAACAACAACAAAAAAAACCACACTTTTTTTTCTTCTTTTTTTGCTACACAGTGCTAATCTTAGAAATCCTCAGTGGCTAGGTACAGTGGCTCATGCTCATTAGCCACGACTTTGGGAAGCTAAGGAGAGAGGATCGCTCGAGGCCAGGAGTTTGATACCAGCCTGGGCAAGAGCAAGACGGCATCTCTACAAAAAAATAAAATAAGTTAGCGAGGTGGTATGCACCAGTAGTACCAGCTATTCAGGAGGCTGAGGTGGGAGGACTGAACCCAAGAGTTTGAGGTTACAGTGAGATATAGTTGTACCACTGCACTCCAGGCTAGGTGACGGAAAAAGTCCCTGTCTCTTAAAAAACAAAAAAAATCCTCAGAGATCATTTTGAAACAAGCTTCAATGCAATGTACAATCAAATAACTTTCCTTGGTCCTTAAATTTCTCAAAATAGGTAATTTCTAAATATCAACAAAATACTTTCAAGTTGCTATATCTTGCGGCTAGCACCATGTCATTCTATGAACTAGACCAGCTCTGGCAATGAAGACACCATAGGAAATATTATTTATAGTAAACTTTATTTTCAATGATATTTCACTTAACATAATTTCAAAGTCAGTCTGTGGTCTAAGATGAGCAGAAGAACAGATACTCTATTTTTTCACACTGTTCCTCTGAGCACGAAATGGGGTTTCAGGGTTCTCAATGTCAACACCTAACATTTTACCCTTGGGATTTACCTATAGATACAGAAAGAAGAGAACATCAATATACAAGAATCAATCTCTGTGAGGGTCTCAATAAGCTCATGTTACATCCTCATTATAACCTCTGTAGGGTTATAATGGTAACAACTGATTTTCCACCCCTCCGCCAAGTTTGGTGTCTTTTTTTTTTTTTAGGTAAAATGTCAAATGCAAAAATGCTGCACTTATTTCTCTTAATACATTGAAAATAGGGGAAGATGCAGATTTTTAATCCTTCATGAGTCCAAGCTGGAACATGACTTCTGCTAATCAGATGTCATCAACATACGAACTCCAACTTTGGCGGCCATCAGCAAACTGTTTAAAAGAAACAAGATAGAAAACGTCAGGTAAAGGACAGAACAGGCAACTATGTTTTTAAGGAACTAAACTCTGCAGGTTCCTCACAACTGTGTGGGGGAGGAGGTACTAAGGCAAGAGTGGTCAGAGGTAAAATTTCCATCCCTGGAGGAACCAGAGAAAAAGCAAGCCAAGGGACAGTCTCATACTGAGGTCTTAAAATAGCACACATGAGCTGGATCCTAATCCAACTGCCAATAATTTGAAGAGATGAAGAAATGGAGGCGAGAGAGAGCAAGGCCGCCCCACCCTCAGGGATCTGATAATGGTTGAAGCTCCAGCCTCTCAGTTTACTGCTCTAGACCTTGCTCCACACTGACTCTTTTGCTTCAGGTATAAAATATTGGCCGGGCGCGGTGGCTCAAGCCTGTAATCCCAGCACTTTGGGAGGCCGAGACGGGCGGATCACGAGGTCAGGAGATCAAGACCATCCTGACTAACAAGGTGAAACCCCGTCTCTACTAAAAAATACAAAAACTAGCCGGGCGAGGTGGCGGGCGCCTGTAGTCCCAGCTACTCGGGAGGCTGAGGCAGGAGAATGGCGTAAACCCGGGAGGTGGAGCTTGCAGTGAGCTGAGATCCGGCCACTGCACTCCAGCCTGGGCGACAGAGCCAGACTCCGTCTCAAAAAAAAACAAACAAACAAAAAAAATTACACTGGCAGCATCGTAACTACGATGAGAATAGAGTATGCAATCTTTCTCCAAAACAGGTTTGTTAAAATTCCCCTGCCTTCAGGATGTCTTTATCACACTTAATAACCGATTTTTTTTTCTTTTTTTTGAGACGGAGTCTCACTCACCCTGTTGCCCAGGTTGGAGTGCAGCGGCAGGATTTCAACTGACTGCAACCTCCGCCTCACCAGTTCAAGCGAGTCTCCTGCCTCGACCTCCCGAGTAGCTGGGATTACAAGCATGCACCACCGCGCCCAGCTAATTTTTGTATTTTTCATAGAGAGGAGTTTCACCATGTTGGACAGGCTAGTCTCGAACTCCTGACCTCAAGTGATATGCCCGCCATGGCCTCTCACAGTGCTGGGATTACAGGTGTGAGCCACTGTGCCTGGCCTACAACTAAATTTTTTTAAAACCACAATTTGGTTTACGTATTATAATCAAAATTAGAAAACAGGATTCAATCAAAATTCCCTTCTAGTAAAATTTTCTATAAAAGACACCTACACATCTAAGAAATATGGGACCCCCACACATTCCCCGCAAGTCACACAAAAGGTTGCAGTCATAGCTTTGCACTAAAACTTCTGCCACCATACAGGGAGGAGCTAGGACCAGAGAAAGCCATCTCCACAGTGAATGGATATACTCATGTCATTGTGACATTAAATCAACCATTGTTTTTGAAGCATCTCCTATTAGTGTATATATCAAATGTCAGCTGATGCATAGCATCAGATATCCTGAAACAAGTTAGGTTTTGAATGCATAAAGTATCTTGGGGAATAAACTGAACTCTACATGGTAAAGAAAAGTAACAAATGAAAGTACCTGGCACCTGCAATTAAACCTACAGGCATGACTTTTCCATAGTAGTAGGATCTCAATCCCAAAACACCAACAAAAGTAACAGATGTAGCAGCTGAAAAAGATACAAAGAAGGGTCAAAACTCATTACATCTTCTACGCAGGGGAATCAGAAGTGGACCAAGCCCCACCCATCTCTCAAGGGTCACACCTCATCCTATGCTTATTCCTCCTTCTCCAAGTAGGGGGAGATTACTGGCTGCCCACATCCTATGCGTCCAAGTACCAATATTGGCCAAACAGGGCCCTTCACAGCCTGGGCCCTGCCTGCCCTTCCAGCCTCATCTCTTACCACTCTTCTTCTGCAAAACCCACACTTTAGCCATCAATGTGTTAGTTTTCTCCAAAATGCTGCTGTTTCTCACGCCCCGCAGACACTGTTTCCTCCACCCTGCACGCAATTCCCACTGGGTAACTGTCAAAGCACCTACTACATGTCAAGCGCTGTGCTAGGTGCTGGAGAATACAAAGGTAATTGTAACTGTCTTTGCCCTTTTACAGTGCTTCAGGTCTGATGGGACAGACTTTAAACAATCACACAAAGAAAACCAAGGTACAATTTGTGCTTCAGGTATAATTGATGCTACACAAAAAAGCTCAACAGGGGATCAACCTATTCAGGGAGATCATGCAAGGCTTTTAGCCAAGGAAGTGAAGACTGGCTGAGATCTGAAATTACAGGAGTTAATAAGCTGAAGGATGGGAAGGCCCTTTCCAGGCAGAGGGGACAGTATATGCAGAGGCCCGGTGGCTGACAGGGAGCGTGGCACATTCACCCTAAATGGGCACTGTGGCACAGAAGTCAAGATGCAGTTTGCAAGTAAGAGGGGCCAGGCCACATGGAGCCTTGAAGGCCATACTAGGGATTGGGTTTTCATCCTAAGAGCAATGAGAAGCTATTAAAGGCTACTAAGCAGAAAGATGCATGAACAGAGTTGCATTATTATTATTTTTTGAGACAGTCTCACTCTGCAACACAGGCTGGAGTGCAGTGGCATGATCTCAGCTCACTACAACCTCTACCTCCCCAGTTCAAGCAATCCTCAAGTCTCAGCCTCCCAAGTAGCTGAGACTACAGGCACCTGGCACCATGCCCGGCTAATTTTTTTTTAATTTTAGTAGAGACGGGGTTTCATCATGTTGTCCAGGGTGGTCTGAAACTCCTGAGTTCAGGCAGTCCACCTGCCTTTGCCTCCCAAAGTGCTAGGACTACAGGCGTCAGCCACTGCACCCGGCCCAGAGTTGCATTTTGAAAGCATAATTCTAGCTGTACCATACAGAACAAACTTCAGGGAAACTAGAGGGTACATGGGGATACCAGCTAAGGAACATCCTTGGGAATGCAGGTAAGAAAGAGGGGATAACTGGGACTAGGATGATGGTTGTGCAGATGAAAAAGAGGACAACTCAGGATAAGGGCTGGAAATAGTGTCGACAAGACCTGCTGATGGATTAGTCAGAAAGGGGGCGGTGGAGGGGAAAGAGAGCAATCAAGACCCGAATGGATGGAGAACAGAAGACAGGAGGAGTGTGTGGCCATGAGGTTAGGTCTGGGCAGATTCCTAGAGACACCTGAAGGAAAGTGGGCAAATGAATACATGAGAATCCAGCCTGGAGGAGAGAGAAATTTGTGTCATTTGTGTATTGGTGGAAATTAAAGGCATAGGCTTTGATGGTACTTATAAACTGTCAAGTGAGTAGACAAAAAGAGCCTGAAGAACTTCAATGTCTAGTGGCCAAAAAGGAAAATGAGTTGCCAAAAGAAAATGAGAGAATAAAAAGGGAAACCAGGAGAATGGAAAATGATTGGTCAACCATGCTGAGAACTGCTAAATGACCAAGTAAAAGGAGGACTGAAAAATGTAGATTGGATTTTGTACAAACACAGGTCACTGGCAGCCTCAGGGAGAGCTGTTCCACAAACACAGGGACAGAAACAGTGACTGAGATGGGCTGATCATGTGTGATGGGAAAGGAAGCATAAATGATCTTTTTTTTTTTTTGAAACGGAGTCTCGCTCCTGTTGCCCAGGCTGGAGTACAGTGGCTTCATCTCGGCTCACTGCAACCGCCACCTCCCAGGTTCAAGTGATTGTCCTGTCTCAGCCTCCCGAGTAGCTGGGATTACAGGTGCCAGCCACCATGCCCGGCTAATTTTGTATTTTTAGTAGAGACGGGGGTTTCTCCATGTTGGTCAGACTGGTCTCGAACTCCCAACCTCAGGTGATCCACCTGCCTCGGTCTCCCTAACTGCTGGGATTACAGGCGTGAGCCACCGCGCCCAGCTGCATAAATGATCTTTAAGAAGTGTCTGGTCTACCGCCATACCGCCCTGAACACGCTCGATCTTGTCTGCTCCCAAAAGCTAAGCAAAGTCGGTCCTGCATGGTACTTGGATGGGAGAATACCACCCCACCTTGGGGGAAATACCAGGTGCTGTAGGTTTCTGGCCTCCCATTCCCTCCCTCTTGCCCTCTTGGCTGGGCATGGTGCCTCACGGCTATAATCCCAGCACTTTGGGAGGCCGAGGCGGGCAGATCACCTGAGGTCAGGAGTTCCAGACCAGCCCGGACATGGCAAAACCCTGTATCTGCTAAAACTACAAAAATCAGCCTGACATGGTGGGAGATGCCTGTAATCCCAGCTACCTAGAAGGCTGAGGCGGGAGAAGCGCTCGAACCCAAGAGGCGGAGGTTGCAGTGAGCCAACACCGCGCCACTGCACTCCAGCCTGGGCAACACAGTGAGACTCTGTCTCAAAAAAAAAAAAAAAAGAAGAAGAAGTTTATGAAGAGGAAAGAGACAAGCACATCTGAATATCAATGGGGGGGATCCACCTAAAAGGAGGAATACAAATACAAGACAGGATCCTTGCCAGTGTGAAGGTCTGGAGAAGGTCAGGGAGAAGACACTCAAAGCACAGAGGAGGACACTGGTGTTGGAGAGGAGGGAAAACAGGACGAGGTGAGGCTTGGAGATTAAAGGTTCCAGGGAGTCCCCACCTGATGGCTGCTGTTTTTTCTCTACAATAGGCATGAGGTCATTTGCTGAGTGGAGCAGGATCAGAGAAAGGGAAAAAGCAGGCTCAAAGTCATTCTGCAGCATGAGGGAGGGAGCTGTTAGGCAGAGCTGGGACCTGGACGCACCTCCTTCCCCAGCACACCCCATTAGCCATCACTGACCTCCCTTCCCAACCCGGCTGATGTGTACAGATCACACGGCTTCTCCCTCCCACATGGCACTCATTCTCACACGGGGTTTGTGGAGACAGTGAGGAACCCACACTCCCAGCAGTGTCTGACACATGAGTGGAGCCCCACAGAAATGTGCTGAAAGCCACCCTGATAAGAAGGACTCCTCGGTCCCCCACCCCACTCACTGTCCATGCCACTCAGAGGGTACATTTCTAGTCCTGCTTCTATGCTCATGTCTTACTTCCCCAGTGAAGTCAGTTGAAAGCTCCTGGAAGGCATGGCCTATGTCTTACATATTTATTTAGCTGACTGCTAAAGAGGTGATTTTCAAACGGGAAAAATGCAACGTGGATGCAAACCTAACCCAGATGTGTGATATTGTAGTGATGCTGAGGCCAATGGTTTTCAGCGGAAAACCTCAACGATTGACACATTACTTGTCTTACACAAGTTTAATGCTAATTTTACTGGGTAAATACGGGTAACACAAGTTTGATGCTAATTCTACTAGGGAAACACTGAAAATAAGGCCCACAGAGGATGGATGATTTTCTGAGAGTCACACAATTCATGAGGTATGGAAATCTTTCCATAGTCTCTACATAAATGATAAACAGGAACCAGGACAATTCCCGCCACCCTTCTCCTATTTTCAAACTTTCTGAGGACTTGGACTTGGAGAAGCAGTGAAACTGTAGTAAATTAAGTGTGAAGAACTCGCTCCATCCCACCAAACCAGGGTCGTTTGGAAAAGAGTATTGCAGATACACGACTGCCCTAAGGAGACGCTGAAGCAGACATACCTAGGAAAACCCAAACGTTCCTTGGATCCTGAGACATCTGGTAAGAACCCAGGCCAGCGAGGCTGCCGAAGAGCAGCCCTGCAGCCAGGGACGCCACCCT